TATTTATTTAAGTAAAACAATTTAAGAATACTGGGTCTCACTGAAAAAATTCGTGTGAAGACTCAAATTACATCGAACGGCAAAAAATATGATAAAAATCATAGATGACCCTCTTTCTGAACTATTTAATRAATCGAATAGAACCTTTAATAYTAAACCGATGGATTACCTATAGTAACGATAAATTTATTTTATTTTCCCATAAATTATAATATATTAGACTAAAATTAATTTTTATAAACTAAAAAATAAAGTACAAACATGCACACATTATAATATTTTGAATTACAATTTTCAGAATTCAATCAATCAAATTGTTTCTTATACAAAGTGTGGTAATGTTTTGTATTATAGCAATACTTTCATATCGTTACTTATCTTTGATCGACGTCTCCATTGATTTAATGACTCCATTGCCACTATCTGCCATACCAATGGGTCAGTATAATAATGTGGCTGTCGTTTCAAACGGCGAACCTTGTGCAAAAATCGGAACGTAAGATTAATATGGGTTTAAAGCATTTAAAATATATCATACTGACTAATTAACTCATACATTTTATATTCGTCACAAATTACTAGTATCTATACGAACACTTTATAATATTTAAAAAATCGTAAAATTCAATTTATGTTAATTTATTTGAAAAATACTAGYTCGAAAATATWCTCAACTTAAAACTGTAAGTCTAGTTCATTATTATTATTTGTTAGAGATTCAATATCAATTGTTATATCGGCATACTATTGCTTAAAAATACATACAATTTATATAGCATATTAATGCTAATGATAGTATTTATTGGATTGGTTATTTTGTGGAARCATATTTTATAAATTGCTTTGATGTTTTCTTCATAAGGCCCTTGTTCCAGTGAAAAATTATTATTGAACATTTTATGTGTTTCAGTATAATTATTAGTACATTTTGGTTTATTTATTTGTTTAATTGATCACAATGAAACAGAATGAAAGATTTTTTAAGTTTAAAATATCTCTGTTTGATATATCGATCGTTTTTAAACGATATGATAGGTATACATTTTTGTCGGTATACGTATATATTATGTAGAATAAAATAAATGAAGGGATTGTCTGTATTTTAGATTAAATATTTTAAAATACTTATTTAAATAAATGTTAAGCATCATACAGAATTACAGACTGTAGAAAATATTAATTTATATTTTCGTATTTCATGTAGTCATTTAAAATAMATTATTTTTCATAATATATTTAGTTAAACTTGTTTTTATTTTTTCTACAGCTTGTATATAACTATTTTTGTAAAAGAAGAAAAATATTATAAGTCGTAAGATGGAKATAATACAAATTTAGGTGTAAATAATCTAGTAAATTTCATAACGTAAAATGAATATTTTCAACAATATAATACGACAAATTTTAGACAGCATAATGTTTTTGTGTCAACGGCTTACTTTAAAACTTACTAAACAATCGATTTTATATTATACATATTTACTTTAGTGACATTTTGAAAAACGGTGGAAATTCAGTAGACGCAGCAATAGGTACATTGTTGTGTGACAGTGTTGTATGTCCTGATTTAACGGGCATCGGTGGAGGTTTCCTAATGACCATATACAACAAGACTACAAACACATCGTTATTTATAAATGCTCTAGAAACTGCTCCAAGTGCCGCCAATTACACTATGTATGACAACGATCCATCGAAATCATTAACYGGTATGGAAATACATACATACCTATTGAAAGCTTGCGATTGACACTGCAGTTATCGTACTTTCTAAAAAAAAAAAAATAATCATAATAAACAAATATTGTAAGTGGTTTAGTAAATAAATAAGGATTATGCAGTTGTTAAAGTATCATAATGGTAATTTTGATGTATGTAATTTCTAAATATTATATACAATAATAATATTATGTATTGTAGTAAATCGGAAAGAATGTGATTGCGCAATATATATTGTATATTATATATTATTATCATTGTATTTATTTTATTTTCATTTCTATGTGATTTATCATCCATATATATTGCGCACACAGTCTAAATTACTACCCTCTCATATGTTTATGTGCACACAAATACACATATACGTATAAGGACTCATACTTATACTATAGTAAATTAACTCACCCTATTTTGACCGTAGATTTGTCAAGTGTTCAATGAATGCAGGAATAAGAAGTAGGTGTAATGTTAATTCACTTATAATATAATGTTAATCAAAAACGCAAGTGATATATTATTGATATTGAGTTAACACATATTTTATTATTTTGTAACACAAAGATACTTTAAATATACATTAGCTCTCCACGTATGAGTCGTATGACCATCACCAAAGGCACACGCTGGGAGAGCGTCGTTGTGTCCAAGAGCTCGATGGTCGATGGATGTCCTTTGAGTCGGTGGGGTAATTTGTTTAGATAGGGTCAATGGACATAACAATATCTGACCACTGATGTCTATTATCGTACGAACATATGTGTGACTGTGTATATAATAGTATATAATAGTATAGACATGCGCTGAGTGTATATGTATTAGATGATGCTACTATTATAGTTATAAGTAGCTATATTATCATTACAGTATATGATACATGAATACGTACACTTGAAGGTGCAATT